TACCGCCTGAGACTGAGGTGGTATCGCGAAGAACAATCCTAATTCTAACCCTGAAACCCTAAACCCTAAACCAGCGAATTTCGTATCAGTTATTCACACCACAAATGGCTAATAGGTAAGAGACATATTTATTTTTTTAATTATATTATTCAAATGCTATTATGATTGTGTTTAGTTTAATTAGTGAGTTTTTCTGTAGTGATTTTAGAAGATTTGAACTAGTCGTTCGGTGGAAATCGTAGAAAGTAGAGGATAATTTGGGCGTCAAATTCGTTGGTGGTGGTAGTTTTCAGTTGACGGTTTTTCAAATGTAATAGTTGTGGTTTGAAGTTGTTGTTGTTTTTCAAATAGCTGTTATGGTTTAAGAAGGTTGTTGTTTTTCAAATGTTAGAGTTGTTGTTCTTGGCCAAATTATAAAATGTCCGAGTTGTTGTTTGTTATTTGTTGTCCCGAATAGTTATCGCTAATAACATCATACATGAATGTAAAAATAGTTCAAGGAATAGTCCACAAACATAAATAGTCCACATAATAGTCCACATAACACATAAATAGTCCACATACATATCCCAAATAATAATAACATAACAAAAATACAAAAAAAACTCTAACGGCGACCACCACGATGACCACCATGTTGATCCGTGTCGAGGATGATCAGCCCCAGCATGATGATGGTAGGCCTACACGGATCAGGGTGCCAGTGAGGTGTGGTACCGACGGCCATCTAGTGGATCAGCATGGTGGTCGTCGTGGTGGTGATCGTTAGGGGTTTAGGGTTTAGAGTTCAGGGTTTTAGGGTTTTAGGGTTCAGGGTTTAGGGTTAATAGTCCACATAACACATAAATAGTCCACATACATATCCCAAATAATAATAACATAACAAAAACAATATTTGGGATATGTATGTGGACTATTTATGTGTTATGTGGACTATTTATGTTTGTGGACTATTCCTTGAACTATTTTTACATTAATGTATGATGTTATTAGCGATAACTATTCTGAACAACAAATAACAAACAACAACTCGGACATTTTATAATTTGGCCAAGAACAACAACTACTACTACATTTGAAAAACAACAACCTTCTTAAACCATAACAACTATTTGAAAAACAACAACTACTTCAAACCACAACTATTACATTTGAAAAACCGACAACCGAAAACTACCACCACCAACGAATTTGACGCCCAAATTATCCTCTACTTTCTCTGATTTCCACCGAACGACTAGTTCAAATTTTCTAAAATCACTACAGAAACACTCACTAATTAAACTAAACACAATCATAATAGCAATTGAATAATATAATTAAAAAAATAAATATGTCTCTTACCTATTAGCCATTTGTGGTGTGAATAACTGATACGAAATTCGCTGGTTTAGGGTTTAGGGTTTCAGGGTTAGAATTATGATTGTTCTTCGCGGTGCCACCTCAGTCTTAGGTGGTACCACCTCAGTCTCAGGCGGTACCACCTCAGTCTCAGGTGCCAACACCTGGGACTTTCTTCCCACCTATTCACCTGAGTCTCAGGCGGTGACACCTCAGTCTCAGGTGGTCTCGCTTAACTTTTTCTCCAAAATACAATATACTTGTCGATACTTTTTAATCCGCCATATTGGTGGTAAATTTAAAAAAAAAACACAATATTTGTGTCATTCTCCCACACTAGAGTACTCGGGTTGTAGCTTATTTATTTAGTTAAAATGTGTATTTTTTTTAGACTTGCTAACGTCAGCAAAAACTCTACAACTCATTTAAAACTTTGCCACGTTAGAGTCAACTTAGAGTCAATTGGAAGAAAAGTTAGCGGTTTGGCTATTATTATTTTCGGAAAGGGTTGGCTATTATTTTGTTTAAAATGAAAGGTTTGGCTATTAAATTGTATTTACCCCACTTAAAAAGAAGATAACATACTTTATATGTTCTTCTGGTTTTTTTTATCTTCCCATCATAGTGAGCATTCGATATTCAACTCAGCTACCTCTGATCAACGGGTCTGGTTATAAGCTAGAAAAATAACAGTCAAACAACGGAAAAGCCCGCATAGGAATACCTTGGTAGCTCTAGGGACTCTCTGTAACAATAAACAACCCTTTAGAAAATCCAAAACCTTGAGACATAAAAAAAAAATCCTCCCACGACACTAATATATGGCAATGCCTATTTTCCAACAAGTTTGTCCAATTTAAGCTTCAAAACGAAATTCAAGCATTGGATTGCTTCTAAATAAATGGACTTTTCACCATTAAACCAAAACTCACAATCATTAACAGTTAGTGCAAAGACATACATTTCTAGGCCAATCACAACATTTAAGCACAACTTTTAGTTGAAAAGAACAACTGAACATTAAACTAAACGATATAGTAGAATAGATTCAATATGCTTCCTGCTAATGATATAAACACATACTGGTACCATCGTTGTATCCTGACCTACCATTTGTGATGAGTTACTTTGAAATACAACTGCATTTTAGAGAACAAACACCCACAAGGGCATTATGAAACCAAGTTTAATAAAAAAAATCTTCATTTTCCACTTCGAAGGTTCCATTTTAAAAAATAAGAGAGTTTAACAATGTCAAATCTCTCATTAACCTCAAACAACTATTAACCAATGCAATATAAAGGCACGTTTCAAATTCTGCACTTTATGAAATAATCCCAAATCATTATCAATTAATGCCCCAACTACCTAATGTGCAAAATAGCTCTTGAGCTGTACTGTTATTTGTGTTGGTTTGCATTCAAACATAGCTGCATCACGAACCAAAGCAATTAAGCAAAAAATCTTCATATTCTAAGTAGAACGACTCAATTAAATTTGGCCAGCGCTTTATACATATCGGTTACCCCTAGACCTGTTGCACTTGTTGCCTTCATATCTTCGTGAACACAATACAATTGAGGAGAGGAGGCTATCAATGGAGTGGAGTGTGTTAATTAAGTGAATCACCATACAGCTGAATAAATGGGGTCTTCTTAATTAGCTATCAGAACAGTGGGGGTAGTTGCATTCCGTCGGTTTCTCCCTCTGCGCATTCCAGTTAGAATCTCTGGCTTAGGTTGTAGAGATTAGGTTTCAGTGAGAACTTTGGAACAGGAGGAGAGTAGTTTTGTGGGTGAGGAGACCCAGCGAGTTGATTGGGAAGCTTTGGCGAGGCTGCACGATTAGCGGGCCAAATCACAGTTTGGGCCCAAATCAAAACATGCTTTTACTTTCGTGCTCAGCAGACCGGCCGCACTAGCGCCTTCTAAATTTACCCCTCAAAAAAATTGCTATAGATGCAACAAATTTGAAATGAGATCCCTCATTTCTCATTTGACATTTATATTATGTGTAGGTTGTGACGAGTGTACATCTAGACATGCCATTGTCCTACAAATTCATTAACACGCCAAAAAGTGGTGAAATGAGCCACCCTATTAAACTCAATATCGTATAATGATCGTTGGATCCAATCATTGCATATTAGGAAGAGGATTAAAATGTAGCGGTTAACCCGACTAAAATGTTAAAAAAACCCAGTTCCATATAGTTTGCACAAAGATATGATTGCTTTATAGTTGTTATGAAAACTAATTCTAATTTAAGAAGTCGACATTGCTTCTACATATTTAATATTGCAATTCGATATACAATATTCCGACTAGTGATATTTGGGCTGTAATTTTAGGCTTATCATATATTAATAAGATATATATAAATTTAAATTAAGCATTAAACTGCAATTAAAATAATCAAAATATGAAAATCGAAGTATCAAAACACCAAATAAGTACTTACGAGAGTTTCAGAATCAGATGATTTACTCTAGTAGTTGCTATTTTTAGCAGTAAAACGAGGAGTATAGACAAGATATATGTTACCTACAACATTCAGACTCTTTGCCAAGGTTGGATATCATTGGATGAAGTGTTCGGTAGCAAATTGAAAGTGAAGAATCATATTACCTAATTTTGTAGCATCTTCATGGGTAAACAAAAGATCTTTGACTCGAAGCAACACACGAAACCTTGTCAGCAACCATCCTAATTCTGAATCGGTTCGACCTTGTGGGTTATTGTGTATGAGTGAACTAGAGTACGCCTGAGGAAGAGTTGTACGCTCCAAACCTTCCAATTAAATCTAAAATCTTTGCTAATAAATATCCATTTCTCAATTCCCAATTAACCTTTTCTCTCCAACCATACAACTCTCAAATCTAATATCCTCAATCCTTTTATTTATTAGCATAAAACTTACTTATATTTTTGTTAATTTCTTTTTTGACTTTAATATTTTCACTATTTTTTTAAAAAAGTGAAACAATTTTTATTGTTTCGGATATATATAATATTTATACGAATTATAAACAAACAAACAAACAAACAAAAATCAAAATTTGATTTTAATAAATTGTGGCAAATGAAGTTTTAATTAGTTTCTCTAAACACCTCATTTGTAATTTAGGAGGGGAAGAGAGCACACATGCACTGAGAAATGAAAAAGAGAAGATGAACAAAATCCTCAAAAGTTGCCTGAAATTATGATAAGTGTCATCAGACACTAATGAATGATAGTTTTTGTTTGATAGAAATATGAATTTAACAAATGAATAGTACGTGTATTTAATAGACCAATAAATAGTGGTTTCTCATCATCATCAGAGATTAGCGACACGAAAAAGAGAAATTTTACAATGCTATATAGTATTGGTGCTATAGGTTTTTGCCTTGATGGTACAACTTAAAATTGCACATTTATGTTATGGTACAACTTTAGATTGTACCTATACTTTTTGTACAAATTCTTTTATGGTACAACTTGAACTTGTACATTTATGTGATGGTACAACTTCAAGTTGTAAAGTTGTACCATAACATAATGGTACAAATTGCTTTATGGTACAACCTAAACTTATACATTTAATGTTATGGTACAACTTTGAGTTGTACATTAAAGCACCAATACTATATAGCATAGTAGAAGTGCTCCACGAAAAAATGCTCTCAACTGCGACTAACGAATCCCTTGCTCCGGCGCCGTCCCTTTTCCCCTTTGATCGACCGCCAGACACTGCAACCTCTCCGACGGCCTTCCTCTCTTCGGATACAGGAGCCGGAACGCCTGCTACCGAAGCGGACATGCTCATTGACTCTATTTCCACAGTGGTTCATCCACGACGTCAGGAAAATGGAGCTAAGGCGGTAATAGCGCAGACTCAACCCGATCCTGATCAAGGGAGGATGGCGGCTTCCCCGACAAAGCCCCAGGCCAAATTCTCCTATGCAACAGCCCTAACGGGCTAGAAGGCCTCGACAATCAGCCAGAATGCGACAAACCAGTGGACGCCAGTGGGCGCAAATGATCTTGTTCCAGGCGAACGGAATGGCGAACCTGCTCTCATGATTTCCACCGGTTTCAAGGACAGAATCTGTGCGCCGTGGAAGCGGACGCTGGTGGTGCGTTTGCTTGGGACAAAGATCGGTTTCACAACACTCTGCTCTCGATTACGGAGTCTTTGGAGACCTACCGGCTCGATGGAGATCCCATACCTCGATCATGATTGCTTCCTGGTAAAATTGAGCAACGACCAGGATTATTTTCATGCCTTAACGGATGGGCCATGGGTTATTTTTGATCATTATCTGATGGTCCAACAATGGACACCAAAGTTCAAGGTCTCAGATCCTCTCCCCAAGACGATGATCGTCTGGATTCAGCTACCAGCGCTTAAGGTTCATTTCTATCACAAGGAGGTGCTGACCATGCTTGGGAATCTCATCGGAAGAACAATCAGGCTCGATTATCATACTCTGAATCTCGTACGTGCCAATTTGCCCGCATAGTGGTGGAGGTGGACCTTTCCAAGCACCTCGTTCCTAGAATTTGGCTGGACGACGTGTGGCAGAAGGTAAAATACGAGAACCTACCAACGGTATGTTTCGAATTTGGAAAAATTGGTCACACAAATACGACATGCCCTCAACTGCGCCAGCCGACGGTCCTAGCCATCATCGGCGGGGAGCTCCGGAACAATGAGCTTCCGTTGGCGGAAGATCCGAATCCGGGATTCGGACCGTGGATGCTTGTTACCCGCAAAAGCCGGCGGAATCCAAGAGAGGCCCCGGTCAAGAAAGGAAAGCTGGAGAATGATTCTGGGAACCAAATCGACGAAAACGTGACCAAGTATGGAAACAGAGGAACCCCAAAAAAGGAAGGAGAGACCTCTCCACAAAAACCGCCAACCCACACTGCCTCAACGCTGAAACGGGCATCTAATCAAGAAAGGAAAGGGGGTGTGGACAAGAAAGGAAAGGAAGAAAACAAGAAAGGGAAAGAAAAGGTTGGTTCTATGTCTAACGGTAATGACAAAGGGGTGTTGGGCACTTGCCCTGAGAAACCAACAAACGGGCCGAAGCCCATGGCGGACCCAACGAAAGCATCTACTTCTTACCAGCCGACGGAGAGCCCAAGTTTGGATAACAAAATCTGCAACCCTCAACCCACCCGGCCCAGTCCCCCAACCTACCACACCCACACCGGGCCCAATGGGACAGTCATGCAGATCGTTGACCTTCAAGCTTCCTCGATCGGGAAACAGAACAGCGCGACCTCTCTTCTGTCCCTACCTTCAACCACGACCAGGACCAAGAAGAACAAAACGTCGAAGCAGAGCAATCGGCGATCCCCAGCCAAGCTCAATCCGGCAAAGAGTCTACAAATATGGTCCCCGAAAAAGGATAAGAAGGCAAAATCCAAGGCTAGAATCGCATCTTTGACTCTGCAAGAGATTCATGCCTGGACGACCGCCACCGAGATAGCTCCTATTTCCTTGGGAAAAGACGACACATCCAGAAGGGAGGAGGAACCTCGGACAACCTCTAATCCGGATGGGCCGGAACCCTTCTCTAATTGACGATCTCTTCTAGCTTCTTTTTCTCTTATGTTCTTGTTTGTTCTTTGTCTGATTTTTCTTATGTCTATGTCAACCCAAACTAATTTAAAAAATTTCTCCGGGAATGTAGGCGGTGCAGGAAGCATGGTCTTTGCCCATTCTCTAAAGCTCGCTATCCAGACTCACTGACTGGACTTTGTCATCCTGCTCGAGCCTCAGATCAGCGGGGTAACGACGAACTCCGTCAGCGATAAATTGGGTTATCCAAACTCGATTCGAGTGGAAGCTGAAGGCCGAAAGGGAGGATTGTGGGTCTTCTGGGACGGGCAACATTTTTCCACCCAGCTTATTTCGGCATGTAACCAACACATTTCCCTCAAAATTGATCAGAACAATGGGCGATTCTGGGTTCTGACTACAGTCTATGCCTCGCCCAAACAGAGTAATTAGCACACCCTTTGGGATAGCATCATTCAGCAGAGCGATTGGATTGATACCCCTTGGATCTTGATGGGAGATTTTAATGCCATTAGATCTGCAGAGGAGAAGTCAGAGGCGCCAGCATCAAGTACCCACAGGCGCTGCCGCCTTTTTAATGATAGGATAAACGAGGCTGAGCTCATTGATCTCGGGTTTTTGGGGCCTATTTATACCTGGACGAGGGGAATGAGACATTCCTGAATACTACTGTGCTTCACCTTCCCTGTCTTCGCTTGGACCACTGCCGATCCTTACCACTGTCAAGTGCAGCAACAAGAGCAGCAGCAGACCTTTCATATTTGAAGCGGCCTGGCTTACGCACAGCAACCTGAAGGATTTCATCTCAGAAGCTTGGGATCCAAATGCAGCGCTTCATAATGGGCTTTCCAATCTCGCTGGTAAGCTTCAGGTTTGGAATGGCAATGTGTTAGGGAACATTCAGAAGAACAAGAATCGTCTGCTAGCTCGCATCAAAGGCATTGAAACCAGATTGGCAAGCTCTTTCAACCCAGGTCTATTCAAACTCCATTCAAAGCTTGAAATCGAGCTGGATAAGGTGCTTGAGCAGGAGGAGATTTTGTGGTTCCAACGTTCAAGGGACAAATGGGTGAAGCAAGGAGAGCGAAACACCGCCTATTTTCATCAGCAGACAAACATTAGGAGAAGGCGCAACAAATTGAAGCCTTGCGGGACGCAAACGACAACTGGGTGACCGAGCCTCAATCCCTTGCACTGATGGTTTTTGAGTTTTTCACTAACCTTTGCATGCAGGATAACTCCTTTTATGAGGACAAACTCCCAAAGAATGCCTTTCCTCGGCTGAATCAACAATAACTGCTTTGTCTCCTAAGCCCGTTCTCCATTACGGATATCCACAAGGCCATCTTCGAAATGAAGCCCTTTCAGGCACCTGGTCCAGACGGTTATCACGCAGCCTTCTACCAACAAATGTGGCAGGTTGTTGGAAAGAACCTAGCAGACATGGCTATGACTTTCTTCAACACAGGCTCACTTCCGGGACCTATTTCGGCTTCCACCTTAGTCCTGATTCCAAAGGTGGACAAACCGGAGAAGGTGGCGCAACTTTGACCCATCTCGCTCAACAATGTTAGCATGAAAGCCATCACTAAGGCAATGACAAACATGTTGAAGCCCCTGATAAGGAAGCTGGGTTCGCCTAGACAGAGCAGTTTCATTCCCGGGAGACAAACAGCGGACAACATTATTGTGGTCCAGGAAGTTTTGCACTCTTTTAGGAAGAAGAAAGGAAAGAAGGGAGGGCTGATTTTCAAGATCGATTTGGAGAAAGCCTACAACAAGCTCAGGTGGGATTTTCTGCAGGATACGCTCAAGGAGGTTGGCTTGCCTAGCACCTGGATCAGTTGTATTATGACCTGTGTGCAGCAAAACCAGATGCGAATTCTATGGAATGGAGAGCTCTCGCACCCATTTTTCTTTCGCGGGTCGTTCGTCAGGGAGACCCCCTCTCACCCTATCTTTTTGTTCTTTGTATGGAGCGTTTGTCTCATAGAATTGATGAAGCGGTTAACGGCGGGGAGTGGAAGGCAATTAAGCTCTCGGCAAATGGCCCACCACTGACCCATCTTTTCTTTGCAGATGACCTCTTACTTTTTGCGGAGGCGGAGACTCGTCAAATTCAAGTCATTAAACAATGCCTCAAGGATTTCTGCTCTAGCTCGGGGCCGAAGGTAAACTACAACAAATCCATAATGTATGTGTCCCTAACGTTGCTCGCAGGAAGGCCGAAAGGATGAGTCGGATAGCCGAGATCCTCCTGAAACCTAACTTGGGAAGGTATCTCAGAATTCAGGCGATCCAAAGAAGGGTAACAAGAAGGCGATATCAGTCTCTCATTTTGCGCATACAGAAGAAAATGGCTCCTTGGAAGGCTAAACGCCTCTCCTTTGCAGCTAGACTGATGATGGTAAAATCCATTGCGGCGTCCCTTCCAGTGTATACTATGCAAACGGAGCTCCTTCCTAGCAATGTTTGCAAAAGTATCGACAAGATCAACATAGATTTCGTTTGGGGGGACGAGGAGGACAAGAGCAAACTTCACCTTGTAGCCTGGGATAAGATGACCGCCCACAAGAATAATGGAGGGGTGGGCATCAGACGCACTCGACATGCTAATTTGGCAATGTTAGCTAAGAGTGGTTGGCGGCTGATCCAAGAGAAGGACAGCCTGTGGGTAAAGGTGATGCAAGCAAAGTACGGGAAACAGAGACATGGCCTGAGTCTGCTACGACCTATACAGGGAAGTTCCTTTACCTGGTCCAGCTTTACTAAAGCTGCTCAGATTTTAAAAGAAGGTTGTGCTTGGAATATTAAGAATGGGCGCCACACTAAATTCTGGATTGATCCTTGGGTTTTGCAGGTCCCGCTTTGGGATATAGCTACTGGCGACATTCCGGGCGAGCAAGTGGATGCGGCAGTGGCTGATTTCGTTCATGAAGATAGGAGCTGGAAGGCCGACCTGTTCAGTCATCTCCTACCGGCGGAGATTTTCCAGAAAATACTCAGTATGGCAGTCGATAAGCTTTCTCAAGAAGAGGATCGGATCTTTTGGTCGCCCACTGCAGATGGCAGATTCTCCACCAAATCGGCCTTTCTTCTTTCCTCTATACAGCAGCCGAACCCTGATGAAAAAGTGTGGAAGGTGATTTGGCGCCTACCAGTTCCCGAGAGGATCCAGAGCTTCATGTGGCTGGCTTTCTCGGGCAGGATAGTGACTAATGCTTTCAGGTTCAGCCGGAAGATCGCGGACAGCCCGTAGTGTGGAAGGTGCTCGGGGCAGACTGAAACAGTCCCGCACACCCTTCGAGACTTACCCCCATCTCTTTACTTTTGGTCTCGACACATCCCGGTCCAGCAACACCAGGAGTTTTTTTAGCACTCATCACATGGACTGGCTGCGGTCCAACCTTCTGCAGAACTCCTCGACAAGCTCCGGGATCGAGTGGCCTGCTTTATTTAGTATTGCTTGTTGGCTCTTATGGAAAACCCGGTGTACAACTTCTCTTCAAGGTATTAACAAAGCTCTCTCAGTCCCAACTCTTGAGTATTCCATCATGATGAAGACCAAGCTTTGGAATGACTCATGGCATAACCCGATGGCTATGCCAGGCGGCCGTGCTCACCGGTGGAGCGCCAGCTGGCGAATGTAGGGTGGTTGCCACCACCAGATGGGTGGGTTGCTTTGAACACGGACGGGGCATCTAACGGCAATCCTGGGCCGGCAGGTGTAGGAGACGTCGTCAGAAGCTCGACTGGACGTTGGTGTAGTGGGTTCATGGCCAATATCGGGTCAGCTACGGCTGCCCTGGCGGAGTTATGGGCCATCAACCACGGTTTGGATTTAGTCTGGAAATTGGGTTATAGAGCAGTCAAGGTGCAGACGGACTCGCAGTTGGCCATGCAGCTTATACAGAGCAGAGCAGATCCCATTCACCCTTACGCTACTCTTCTCTCGGTCATTCGCAGGAAGTTAGGTCGCGACTGGCTGATCAACATCTCTCATACATTTAGCGAAGGGAATAGAGCCGCGGATTGGCTCTCGAAGCACAGTCTCGTCTATCCCTTCGGTATGCATGAATTTGTTGATCCTCCAATCGGACTAGCTACGGTACTTCGGGATGATATGTTAGGCACTACTTTTGAGCGACGCATAGCGGTTCGCTCATCACCCCTCATGTAACCCCATGTACCTCTCCCTTTCTTGGCTTTGCCTCCATCAATGCAAAAAAAAAAAATAGTAGTTACTCATTGGATCTTGTCATCTACCATCCATGGTCTGTATGGTTGTCCTAAAAGCAACCAAACTCACTGCTCTCACTGTAAATCCCTCCATCCAACCGATGTTGTCAACTAAAGATCAGAGGGACCCTTCCGATGTAATTCCCCTCTCCGGGTCATCATTTCTTAGACAATACGGCCTAAAATATGCAATGTGAAAGCTAGATAAAAAGAGATTTCAATAAAAACGATGGGAAGATAAATAGAGAGAAAGAGAAGAGAGAGAAAAGCTTCAAATCGAAAAAGATGAACAAGGAAATTATCCATTGTGGAAAAGAAGAATGCAGCAATAAGTTTGAGTAAAGGACATAATTTACAATTGGAATGACGATTTTGCCGCGTCGCAGTCGGGTGGAAAGGGAATAGATACAACTCTAAATCCGAGAAAATGAATGGAGAGAGGAGCACGTGAACCGGGAGACCAATCAACACAATTGAGAGGAATGGAAGAAGAGGAAGAAGAGGAAGTAATAGAGGTGAGTGAGTGGGCCGGGGTTTGAGCACAAAAAAATGGTGAGGAATGGAAGGTATGATGTATTAAGAGCCATCACTAGATTCTTGGATATATGGATGAACAGATTGTTTTCCTTGATAGGAGAAAATAATAGTGAAGGGAAGTAGAAACTTTCGAAGAGGGAGGAATGAGCACACGTGCACCTTGAAATAAAATGAAAGAGAGACGAAAATAACCCCCAGTTAATGAAATCATGATAATGTCATCATGA